TGTCGTAGTTTTGAAAGAAAATGTGNTTTGGATGTATCTGCGTCACAAGTCAATCCAATGCACGCACTTTACCTCCGATCTCATATACGGTTTAAACCATTTACAACTGAATTGGACAAGAAAGTCACTGTACACTAATAATAATGGAAAAATGTTAAGTATATTCATGTGAATTTTACGTGATGTCATTAATACTTGGTGCTAGGGTTGTATGTTCAATAATTATGTATATATTAATATAAATCTCTATTTAATACTGATCAGTTGAATTAAACATATCTGGAAGGTTCAAATAGACCACCTCGTACCCCAACTATTTGCATAAAATATGCTAAAGCCAAACCTAAAAAAAGATCTCGGTTATTATATTTGTTGTTTGTTGAAATCTTGACATTTATAACATACTTTGGTTTGTTTCTTTTTGGAAAAAAGGTAAAATATTGTATATATACGATACGATTTGAAGGTGAGTCTAGTGGCGAATTTCATTTTCAGTTTAAGTCCGACGTCATCACCCCTATCAGGTGCAATTATGTAAAGATCATATTTAAAATTGGTTTTTCTATGGTTGTATGACGAGAACAGCACAATTTCGGCGTCTTGTGGGTACCCAATGATCAATCTTTCAAGGAAATGAGAATCTAAATTCCACATAACCTCGAAAGTACAGTAACAATCATAAGAATGGACTATTCAGTCGTACACTTCTTTTGAACTTTTTGGGGCGATACTGAATGATATTACCCGGCGGATGGACATGAGTGAAGCCAATATACGCCCCCCATTTGATGTGGGCGTATAAAAATACATGGGGTGATGTGAAAGTATTTAGACCGGAAAGGTTTCTCAATTCAACTGGTGACGGGGTCAAATTATATGAGGAATTTATTCCATTTTCACTTATTGAGTATTTTTTCAGATTCATTCAGTATGTAGCTTTACAGGGCGTGACAAATTAGAACAGAATCGTCTGTGCTAAGCATTCTTATGAAATATGTTATAATTCTAGTTTTATCGAATTTCGGCTTCGCTTTACTGGTAACTGTGGCGGGTGTCTCACATCAATATTTTTTAAGGCAAACATGGTGCATAGCATGATGTAACCACTTTATCGGATTCGCCGTTTGACAGTCACATATTGTACCAAATCATGTAGGTAATTTTGAGGCAATATCTACATTTTTAACTTTCAGGTCGAAGAGTTTGTATTGGTGAATTTTTAGCTAAAATGGAGTTATTTTTACTGATAACAACTTTGATTCAACATTTGATCTGCAACCAGGACTCCAAA